AGTGGATTTCAGCAAAAGAAACAAACTGAAAGTACAGAGAAGAAGATAGAACTCCTAGCCGGAGCGACAAATATTTTGACTAAAGCAACAAAAATCAAAGACATACATTACATCCAGAAGAGAGTTCTGATTCCGTGTTCAAGTCCGGTCAGTACAAGATCCCCTTAAGCCTAATCCAACTGGCACCGTCAAAGTACAACAAACCAAACTACAATTAATATCATACAACAATGGAGAATTGAGTGGTGTATAAGGTGCAGGTCAAGCAGTGGATTGTGTGTCATCAGTCTGACAAAGCATCTCAGCCGAGATCCCCTCGGCAACGACGTCTCTAATAAAAAAGAAGAATATTGTGTCCCAGACAGAAAAGAGAGCGATACTACGTCAACAGATTTGGGTCCAAGGGGCCCTTCTTGTTTGGGTCCGGTCCCACTAGGTCCCAATGGGCCCCAAGTAGGTCGCGACCAAGTCCCAATCAAGGAGAGTACCTCAAGGTCCTATTTTCTGCCTCTACCGTACCGAAAAACGAATTTCAACTTCAAGAGAGAACCTACAGACTACATCCATTCACAAATGAAAAGACAAAGCATTGTAGAAAGATATGGCTTTCAAAGCAAGATACTTCATTTCTACATCCATCAGGTTAGTAAGTAGTTCGCACACCAATGCACACAACCAAGACTTCAGAGGAGTAGCAAAGAGACCCAGAAGTACTCCAGCAGGACAAACAATACCATGCACACATACATGGGCAACCCTTAGGTGCACGACACTTACCCGAGTGGCCCGGACTCTGAGATGAAGTATAACTCAGCCCCCTTCCTCATGTGGTCTTCCTAACCCTATTCGCTACCTCTACACTAGTGTCCTATCATGTAGGAGGGTCTCACTTCCAGCACCAAAGTGCAACGCCGGATCCCTCGCCAATGCTGAAGAACAAAGTAGTAACTTGCAGTCCGTAGATGCACAATGGCTACCTCCCTCAGGATCGCCTACTTGAGGGAGGCCCTCAAGTCACCAAGTGTCTCCCTTAGGTCAGATTCCAGGTGCGAGTGCCTCTCACTGTCGCCTCTCTCAACTTGTTGCATGAAGTCCTCTTGATGTGTCTCGCCACCACATACTGACTCTCAAACAACCTGGTCAGGTTCAATGCCGACCCAGCATGACCTAACCAGGCGGGGGCAGCTTCCCTAAGCCACGCTGCCCCACTTCCCACTTCGGACCAATCCTACCCCTAAGTGGTTAGCCCTTACCACTTAGGTTAGGGTTAGGGTGGATAAGTCAACTCTCACCAGCAAGTAGAATCTGCTCTGATACCAATGTTATGATCCTGGCCAATTTCGAAGTACACATTCATCAGATAGTACAATGTTGTCCAATTGCAAAAAGAAATAAATGAACTTGAGAGAAGAGAGAGGGTAAGAAAAAGAGGAAGAAAGAAAGAAGAAGAAGATGATGTACACCAGCATAGACAAATGATAGTGCTCTTCTTCTTCGCCAAACACTTTCCTCCTCCTTTTGCTCCTTCTCTCTTATTCACACAATGCTATGGCGGACTATTTGGGCCTTCCCCTGATCTCCAGAGGACAACCCAAAGCAGCTATGGTTGCTCTAGCTCAGACCGCCATGCCTGACTCTGCCTCGAAGCTTCTTAGTGTAGCTCTACCCCTGCTGGGGCCTTCCTGCTGCAGCGCCCATCAAGGTGATGAAGATGGCTGCCACCACAGCCAGGTAAGTACCTCTGGCGCTCCCCCTTCCTCCTGGTCTTCTTCCTCCTCCGTGTCCTTGCTCCTTCCCCAGCAGCGCTGCTCTTGCTAGCGCTGCTCCAGTCATCGCTCCAACCAGTGTGTCACCAAACTTGCACACCGACAATCAGGCTGGGCTCTTCGCCCGGCCTGGAGATATAACGGCCTGCTTGCCTCTTGGGCGGTGACTTCCAGGTCGCTCAGCCTTCCAAGCAACCGGTACCTCCTCCATTTCGGAGGGAAACATCATTGCAGACTCTGATATTGCCCGTACAGGTCCTAGACTCAGACTGGTTGGACTGGTACCCGCCTAGACCTAGCCTACAACTACTGGACCTCTAAAAATGCCAACTTTTGTCTTCTTCTGCTCGACCTCGAGTACCCGACACATCTACGTCTTCAGGGTGTGGTACCGGCCTACCTGCTACTTGAGTGTTTCCCAGCTGCGTCAAGTGTTGCGGGCCTCTTCCCCCGCCACTTGAGTGTTTTCCCCTGCTGTAATCCTCAATGTCACGGCCACAGGTAAGTACCGGCCATGAGGGCCCAACGAACGAACAAGTGCCCTTGCAGGTCACACACACACTCAAGCCAACAAGCACTCAGACAGACATGCAGATCAGCAAGCGTGCCCACACACAGACATGCAAGCGTGCACGCACATAGACTTAGAGAACTTAGTAGCAAGCGGGAAACTCAGCAAGGCATTCAGTCCATGAGCAAAACTCAGAAATCAGCTGTGCGTCTCAGTCCATGTTTGGTCGGGTCATCGCAGTAGTATCTTTCCAGCAGTTTCTGAGTGTGTGTGTTAGCTGGTCTGTCAGTGTATTCATGAGCATGTCTGATGCATGCTGAGTTCTACTAATCTGCGTCGCTGTGCTGACTCTGTTCTCGTGCTGTGTCTCTGTGACCCAGGTGAGGGGTTTAGAAATAGGTGTAGTGGCATGGGCAGAACTGAAATGTGATTACAGAGGACATCGGGTAAAAGTAATACCCCCAGGGGTAGCTGTAGAATTTGACAGGGGCCTGGTAGGGATTTCCCAGTAAGTCATGTCGGCACTAGCTCCAGTAGGCTAGCTGTGGCATACTGCGTAGCCACACGGGCCCTGCAGGGCCCGTCCCGGACATTCAGCCTAAAAGCCTAAAACTTAGGGCTTACAGGCCCCGTTCGTTTCAGCCTGAAAGCTGAAAAACGAGGGCTTGCAGGCCCTACCTCGTTTCAGCCTATTTCTGGGTCTTTTCAGACCCAGAGTTTTCAGCCTGAAACGGAGGGCCATTTTCAGGCCCTCATTGTTTCGACCTGCCCCTAAGACTCAGGCACGTAAACAGGGATGCGTAACAGGCCAGAAATAGCCTGTTCCTCACGAGTTTGAGCAGGAGCTGCAGCTGCAGCCCCTGCCTCCCTTCGGCAGGCTCAGGAGGCACACCCGGTAGTACATAGGAAGTTCCCATGCACTTCACGGGTAGGTAGTTCAGTAGACAAGAGGTAGTCTTCAGGATTTCGGCCGCAGCACTCAGGAGGAGCGCTGCAGTAGTCTTCAGCGCTAGGTGGTATTTAGCGCTAGCTGTAGTCTTCGGCGCTGGGCGCCATAGCTGTAGCTATAGTCTTCAGCGCTGGGCGCTGGTAGGTGGTAGATTGTAGAGTGGGAGAGAGACTGGCGGAGGCCAGTGGTACTTACCTGTGGCGCCATCGCTCCAGCTCCATCTTCGTGGTACCTGCATCAAGACGCCAACTTCACAGGTTAG